ATATATATATATGTATATATATATATATATATATATATATATATATATATATATATATATATATATATATATATATATATATATATATATATATATATATATATATATATATATATATATATTAGGACATATATTTTATAGTTTTTTTTTAGCAGATGAGATCAATGATATTTTGCTAATAGAAGAAAAAAAAGGAGAAGATAATTTCATTAAGCTCTATAAAGTTGAAAATCCAACAAAAATAGACACATATCCTAGAGAGAATAAAATAGATATCTGGATTTTAGGAGGAGAAAAAGGTCAAACTCCATATTATGGAATTTTTGATCCCATAAGTAGCAACTTCAAAATTGAAAAAATGGGAAATTTTAACTTTTTTGATCTTTCTGTTGGGGAATCAGGTGTATGGGCAATTGAGGAGAATACAGGAACTCCTTACCATTATCTTCACAGCGATAATAAATGGTTAAAAGTTTCTTCAAACTTTCGTGCAAAAATAATAGAATCTGCATCTCCTGCCCACACTGTTTATGCTATTGAAGATAGTGAAAATAAATTGTATCTACGAAATGGTATTTCTCCACAGAATCCTTTAGGAACAGATTGGACACACATTCCAGTTAAAGTGAAGTCAATTTTATCAACACCATTAAAAACATATGTAAAAATGGTAGATGATAAATGGCAAATGTTTTATTCTTCAGCAATTCAATCAGATTTATATTCTTGGATTTCTTCATGGGAAAAAGTTAAATGGGATACATATAGTATGTCGAAGGTTTCTGCAGGTTTTGATGGCTCTGTGGTTTATGCTTCCAGAAATGGGTTGCACAATTTTAAACAAACTAGTGAACTAAACAATCAAGATTATTTGTTAAATAGTCAGAAGGTTGTTGATTTTTCAGCAGGACCAGTTATATTTGCAATCGTAGGGCAATATGTTTATTCCAAAACAAGTAAGATCTGTTTTTTATTTATTTAAATATATTAATCACTTACTTATTTGTAAATTTTTTCATTTTGTGTTTTAGTTTCGTCATGCTTTGGATTTTATGAGAAAACACAAACACTTACGCTTAACCACCTGCAGAAACCTACAAGTGTTTGCACATGGTTGGTGACATCATCAGATAAAACTGATATGGAAATTTCATTTGAGACAAATCAAAATAGTTGTACATCAGTTGTCAAGGTGTTTACAGGTGCCATTATTTACAATGAAAATAAAATTTGTGCACCTTTTCAATCACAAGATTCTATCACTATGGAAGGAGGTCGTGCATATATAGAATATAAAAAAATGAACACAGCTTTACCGAGCGACACCTTTCAGTTAAAATTTAGCAAAAGTAAGTTCTGAACAACATTTTTATGTTGTGTATAAACACACATCCATATAATAACATTTATGTATATTTTTGATATGCTTGAAGTATATCCATAAAATATTTCTTAAATTTAACTTCAACAATTATATAGTATATATAGTTCCATTTACACTTTGTGTGTCTGCGTGTGTGGTTTTTTTTTTTATCTTGTTCACTTCCTCATGGTTGAGGGGGCCACTAGAGTTAAGGAGGCTATTTTTTTGTTGTAATAATAATAAGTTGAGCATGTTGAACATGGTGGGAGTTTATTTTTCGAAATGAAATAAATTTTATGAATGCAAATAAAATATAAATTATATAAACAATATACTAATTATTATCATAATAGTATTTAATAAATATTTATTACAATGTAATAAATTTCATTAAATTAATTTAAATTTATTGGCTAGTATCCTATATAATGTTGAACAACATCAAAAATAAACAATACAATGGTTAACTATTTTTGTTGCTGCAGCTGTCATTGTTACTGTTTTTATTATTGTTGTTGTTGTTTTTGTTGTTGTTGTTGTTGATGTTATTGTTGTTGTTGTTGTTTTTGTTGTTGTTGTTGTTGTTGTTGTTGTTGTTGTTGTTGTTGTTGTTGTTGTTGTTGTTGTTGTTGTTGTTGTTTGTTTGTTTATAAAGTTTTAATTAATTTATAATATTAGATATTTACTTTTTCAAATAAAATTTATTTTTAGGATTTAAAATGTTGCCTAATGGTTGGAAAGTTACAGTTCCTGGATACTTTAGTCAATTGTTTTCATTTTTTGGCAGTGAAATGTGGTTATACAATGATAAATCAAATACATTTTACTCTGTCAATAAAAATTTTTTTATTCCAAAACCAAGTGTTTTGTATGATATACAAAGCATGGCTTTTGGATGGGATGGTATATATTTTTTAAAAAAAGATGGTAGTGTTAACTACCTTAAAGGTTTTGGACCTCAGTTTTCTGAATCTGTTCAAATCAGCCCAAAAGTAAATAATAAAAGAGATAGTATAGTAGTTGGTCCGCAGCATATCTTTATCATTGAAAATAAAGATGTGTTTTGGAAAGACACAACACAATCTGTTGATGGAAGTTTTACATACTTTACTAGTAATGTAGATGATATCAGTGAAGGTTATTAAATTATTAATTTACAGTTAAAATTAATTATATTTATTTTCAATTTTTTAAATATTTATAAAATATACAAATAAATGTTCATAAAGAAAAGATAAAAAATAAAAAATACTTTCAGAATATTTCATTAGAGTATGGATTTGATTAAAAAAAAATTACAAGAATACAAAAGAAAGTATTTTGTATATATATATATATATATATATATATATATATATATATATATATATATATATATATATATATATATATATATATATATATATGTATGTATGTATCTATCTATCTATCTCTATATATATATATATATATATATATATATATATATATATATATATATATATATATATATATATATATATATATATATATATATATATATATAATATTCAAATAATAATAAAATACAATTAAATTTGTAACATAACTCAGAGTTTCATGCTATATGCGATCATCAGACGTTACAAACAACCATAACAACAACAAAAATTATATACAAAAATACAATACAGTGTTAGCTTAGATGACGTTAAAGTTGCAGATAACAAATTTGTTTTCGTGGCGACATTTAGATATTAATTCATTTCGCTTATTTAATAGTTTCAAAGGTGATGTAATGATATAGTGTTTTTCCGTTAAACAAAGGTTACATAACTTTCTTCCAGGTTTAAAAGGTTCTGCCCTATCAATAATTTTCCACGTAAGAATAGGATTTGAAAATCCCTTTTTTTTCATTTCCCAGATATATTTAGAAAGTTCTGTGGCATTAGCTTTACTTTCGTATTGAAAGGAGTTCTTATGCTTGTACCAGCGATCTTTAAAGGTCGCTGGTACAAGCATAAGAACTCCTTTCAATACGAAAGTAAAGCTAATGCCACAGAACTTTCTAAATATATCTGGGAAATGAAAAAAAAGGGATTTTCAAATCCTATTCTTACGTGGAAAATTATTGATAGGGCAGAACCTTTTAAACCTGGAAGAAAGTTATGTAACCTTTGTTTAACGGAAAAACACCATATCATTACATCACCTTTGAAACTATTAAATAAGCGAAATGAATTAATATCTAAATGTCGCCACGAAAACAAATTTGTTATCTGCAACTTTAACGTCATCTAAGCTAACACTGTATTGTATTTTTGTATATAACTTTTATTGTTATGGTTGTTTGTAACGTCTGATGATCGCATATAGTGTGAAACTCTGAGTTATGTTACAAATTTAATTGTATTTTATTATTATTTGAATATAATATATATTTGCTCTACTTTTGTATTGAGCACTGTCTACCGAAAAATTACTCTTATTACTGGTATATATATATATATATAATATATATATATATATATATATATATATATATATATATATATATATATATATATATATATATATACATGTATATATATATATGTATATATGTATACATGTATATATATATATATATATATATATATATATATATATATATATATATATATATATATATATATATATATATATAAAATTGATTGTTAAATTAAAATAATACAAAAACTCGTTTACATAAAACAGTGCTCATTATTTTAATAATAGATAATTAGCTCATTATTATAATAATAAATATTTAAATTATGTATAAATAAAAAACAACATTTTTATTAGTACTTAAAGTTTCGTGCCATATACAACAATCATCAGCCATTAACTACATAAAAAACTGTTAGAAAAAACCAATTTAAAAAAGCTTGTATAAAAAAAAATCTTTTACAAAAGAATTAAATGTTCTGACTTAATAAAAGGCGTAACCATATAGTATAAGGTATCAAAAGATACAATAGAAGTTTGTTGGAATGTTAACACTTAGCTAATTTTTCTTTTTTTTTAAGCAAGTTGTTTTTATTGTAATATAAAGTTTTACATTTTTTATACAGGCAGAGGTTACGAATTTTGAATGTTGTTTAGATGAGTTTACATCATTTTATAATTTTCCACTTTATTGCGTGTTTTTTGTCCTTTTCTTTTAAATTCCAAATTTTCTTAGAAAGCTAAGAAGCTTAGAAATCATTTTTGTATTTCACCCATTAAAAGATTTTAAATGATTTTCATATCTAAGCTTGAAAAGTATCTTTCGAGAAAAAGATTTTAATCAATTACAGTATCTTGATAAACAATATTACTTAATAAACATTGATTGTTTAATGGGTAAGTGGTCTTTGTAGTGCAGTTGCAAGTTCTTGTATTCAAACTTGTATCACTATGCTAAATCTTGTGGTTATGTGAACTAATTATGGATTTTACATTTTGCATACAGCTGATAATGGCATGATATGGCAGATAATTTTACATTAACAGTGCAAGGAAGTCTTTTGATAATTTTAGGTGGGTGGTTTGAATCACAGTGAACATTATCCAGCTCATATTTGCATTTACGGTATGGTTGAAAAGAATTGTTATTGAGATCAAATATCATATTAAAATATTTAAAAATTTTCATATTGCATTGGATGAAAACAAGGAGATCATTACTTTTAAAAATTTTAACAAAGTTTTTTTTGATTTTTTTTCCATTTGCTGGCCAATTTTTGTTTTTAAATATCGCTAGCCTGTCATCACAATATAGAATAAAATCATCTCTATTATAATACTGTGAAAAGTTGAAATAAAAGAAAAATTCCTACTAATTTACATACTTCATTACTATCGTAAGCGCTCATTGTAACATCAAAGAGGACACTTTTTCTTGATCCCAGCTTCTTCGTTGTTAAAAGTAAAGATTTTCTTGTGTCTTAGTAATGTTTCGTATTCAGTAATTATAAATAGATGTTGTTCCGCAAAGTTGGTTGCATTGTTAAGCATTTTTTCACTTATTGAAGGATAAATACCATTGATGTTGAAAACTAAAATTTGTAAAGATGTTTATTCTTAATTTTCAAAAATCAGTGACATTTAAAATGCTTTGCCATTAGTTTATAACTTCCTTCTGAGCCTCCATTATAATCTCATGGCTTTAAGCAGGCATGGAATCTTTTATTCTTTTTTGTTGGTTTTAAGTCAAGCCTCACTCTACCACATTAAAAGGAAGAAGGGGAGGGGTAGAGATTTCTCCTTTTTGTACAGCTGCTATTTTAAATCGTAATCATTTTTTATCTTCTTTCATAAAAAACAACTCTCTAGAGAACTTAAATAACTTTTTATTGTTCCAAGAAATCAACTCCCTAGAGAACAATCATCTTTTTATTGTTCCAAGAAATCAACTCCCTAGAGAACAATCATCTTTTTATTGTTCCAAGAAATCAACTCCCTAGAGAACAATCATCTTTTTATTGTTCCAAGAACAATCAAATCAAACTTTTTATTGTTCCAAGAAATCAACTCCCTAGAGAACAATCATCTTTTTATTGTTCCAAGAAATCAACTCCCTAGAGAACAATCATCTTTTTATTGTTCCAAGAACAATCAAATCAAACTTTTTATTGTTCCAAGAAATCAACTCCCTAGAGAACAATCATCTTTTTATTGTTCCAAGAAATCAACTCCCTAGAGAACAATCATCTTTTTATTGTTCCAAGAACAATCAAATCAAACTTTTTATTGTTCCAAGAAATCAACTCCCTAGAGAACAATCATCTTTTTATTGTTCCAAGAAATCAAGGTTAAAAAGTACTGTCTGACACTGAAGTCTATTGTTCATAGATTATTAAGTCTTGTATTTTATCTCAGAAGTTTATTTCTAAAGACTTCTGAAAGTTCTTTTACAATGTCATTAATAAATGCATATCTAACATTCCATATGGATTTGTTCTTATTACCTTTACCAGAATAAGGCTATTTACAAAGAACTTTTTCTCTAACTCATCTCTATTACCTAATGGCCACACTTTTCCTGTCATCTCAAAGAAACAAGCTAATCCATTGTTATGCATCCTAATTACTCCTGCTTTTGTTGCTACAGTTATTTGCTCTTCTTAAATGTCATAAACTATTTAAGTTGTTGTCCAGATAATATTCCATTCCAATTGATTTTTGTTTTCACTTTTTTTGTTTAAAACTCTCTTTATTACGCTTTAAATTATCTCTAAATTTAATATAGAGAAAATTTAGAGATAATTTTTCTGCAGTGAGAGAGTTTTCTGCAGTGAGAGAGTTTTCTGCAGTGAGAGAGTTTTCTGTAGTGAGAGAGTTTTCTGCAGTGAGAGAGTTTTCTGCAGTGAGAGAGTTTTCTGCAGTGAGAGAGTTTTCTGCAGTGAGAGAGTTTTCTGCAGTGAGAGAGTTTTCTGCAGTGAGAGAGTTTTCTGCAGTGAGAGAGTTTTCTGCAGAGAAATCTGTTGCTCTGATTTTATAAAATCTGAAGATTGCACAATCTTCAACCTTTATCCTTCATTTCCAGTAATTTCAAGAGTACCACAAGGTCCATCTTTGCATAGTTTCTTATAAATATTATTGATGTTATTTTTTGATTTCCTTGCTAATTGATTTTTTAAAATTTTGTAATGGTAAAACTACATACACCAGTCTTGACAATCATTACTTCTTGATTGCTTATAACTGGCAGTCAATCTCTGATCTCTCTGATCTACTGATTAATTATCACAATATTCCATGAATTATCATGAATTATCATGAAATTATCACAATATTTCATGAATTATCATGAATTATCATGAAATTATCACAATATTCCATGAACATGATTCCATGAAAACACTTTATTAAGTCTTCTACTCTGCATCTTCTCAGATTGTTTTTCACTATTGAATAAATTTAATAGATCTGTTGTATATATATCTTACCATATATACAATTTATTACAAAGTTAGCAATTGCTAAGGTTGCTTCTTATTATTGTGAATTCTTACTCCTTGTTCCATTCTCTCCCTCTGCAAATCTCTTATTTGTCCCTGTATGGAATACTGTTGCCATATTTGGGCTGGTTCTTCTAATGACGACTTTTCACTTCTAGACAAGGTCTAAAGACTTAATGTAAATTTTGCTGGACCTGCTCTATCTGCCTAGCT